ATCGGCGAAGGGTTTTTCGAGGCGATTGAGGAATTAGAGAGGATGAATAGAGAACCATCTGACATTTTAGAGGAGATGAATCATCGATTGTCTTCTAAAGAATTGCAGCTAATGCTTGTCTACTTCGCACAAGAAGGTAGAGATTCTTGGTGTACCCTCGAAGTGTTTGAGTGGTTGAAGAAAGAAAATAGGGTTGATGATGAGATTATGGAGTTGATGGTTTCGATTATGTGCGGATGGGTGAAGAAATTGATCGAAGAGGAGTGTGATGCAGCCCAAGTGTTCGACTTATTGATCGAGATGGATTGCGTTGGGTTAAAACCAGGTTTTAGCATGATGGAGAAAGTGATTGCTTTGTATTGTGAGATGGAGAAGAAAGAAAGTGCGGTTTTGTTTGTCAAGGAGGTTTTAAGGAGGAGAGATACTTCTGGTTACAGTCTTGTTGGTTCTGAGGATAGAAAAGGAGGACCAACTGGGTATCTTGCGTGGAAAATGATGGTAAATTATACACCTTTTGCATCGTTCTTTGATTATTAATCGATTGTCGTTAGAATTCTGATGGAACTGAGATCAAACAGAAGTGGTTATGATGGCTATAGTTTTACGTTCTTGTTGCTTATCGGTTTTTTGGTCTAGCAATGTTAATGTGGCAGTGTTTTTGTTGCTATCAGGTTGATGGAGACTATAAGAAGGCAGTTGATTTGGTTATTGACTTGAGACTTTCAGGGCTAAAGCCAGAAGCTTACAGCTATCTAATTGCGATGACAGCCATTGTGAAAGAGCTAAACAGTCTTGGGAAAACCTTACGCGACTTGAAACGCTTTACACGGGCTGGTTTTATTGCTGAGATCGATGATCACGATAGGTTACTCATCGAGAAATACCAATCAGACCTCATATCCTGCGGACTGGAATTAGCCGCTTGGGCGATTCAGGAAGGCCAGCAAAACGATGCCATTCTTGGGGCGGTCCACGAGAGACTCCTGGCTATGTACATATGTGCAGGACGTGGACCAGAAGCAGAGAAACAGCTTTGGAAGATGAAACTTGCAGGGAGAGAACCCGAAGCTGACCTCTACGACATTGTTATCGCGATCTGCGCTTCACAGAAAGAGGTGAATGCGGTTTCACGGCTTCTAACACGGGTTGAGTTCATGGAATCTAAGAGAAAGAAGAAGACTTTGTCATGGTTGCTAAGAGGGTATGTGAAAGGAGGGTACTTTGAAGAGGCTGCAGAGACATTGATACAGATGATCGACTCTGGTATGTATCCAGAGTATATCGATCGAGTGGCTGTGATGCAAGGAATGACAAGGAAGATCCAAGGGCGGAAAGATTTGGAAGCATATATGGGTCTGTGCAAGAAGTTGTTTGATGCTGGTTTAGTAGGACCTTGTCTTGTGTATATGTACATGGATAAATATAAGTTGTGGATAGTCAAGATGATGTGAAGGAAGAAGAATGTAATAGCTGAGGAGACAGAAGGTTAAAAGACTCTGGTTAAGCTGGAGGGATTGAGATCTTGTATTTTTGGGTACATAAATATCAAAATAATACGTATATATGAAAGGGAAAGAACTCATATATTATATTGTACTTCTGAAATTATCTTTGAAATTTTCTGTTTGTGTGCTAAAAATAAAATCCATTATTGAAAATAAATGGCCCAAATGTAAACTTGAGCTTATGTTTCTGGTGTTTCTGGAATCAATTGAATCTGAAGGTGAAGCAAATCACATAAGAAGGTAAAACTGTGATTGGAGGTCGAAGATCCAACAATGGCAGATTCCGCCATTAAGCTTACAGTCAAATTCGGAGGCAAATCAATACCAATTTCGGTATCAGCAGATGTTACAGTGAAAGACCTTAAGTCTCTTCTCCAACCCATCACCAACGTTCTTCCTCGTGGTCAAAAGCTTATCTTCAAAGGTTTTTTTTATTGAATTTGAATTCATTTCTCAATAATCCTTGACATGGGTCTTATTCAAAGTTGGTTTTTTTTTTGTTTCTTGAAAAATAAAAACAAAAGGTAAGGTTTTGGTTGAGACTTCGACTTTGAAGCAATCTGCGGTTGGTGATGGAGCGAAAATCATGTTAATGGCTTCTCAAGGTCTGCATCAAGGGGTCAGTCTTCTTCTTTTATGATTCTTAAAATTTTCATATACTTCGAAATTTGGATTCTTGCTCTTTAGTAGGATCAATGTAATTGAGGAGACAACATGTTAAGGTGGTTTTAATGTTATGGTAGTATTTGAAATGAACAGGAAGGTCCAGTGCTTAAGGAAGCTAGTACAAGGCCAATCTCTAGAACTCTTGTGTCTGATAAAGTAGATCAGAGAAAACCTGGTCTCATTGTAGATAAGAACCGCACTGATCGATGGAAAGCCACGGGAGTTATTGCCTTAGCTCAAGCCAATTTGAAGGTATATAGAGAAGGTCCTAGGTTTTGAAGCCATTACTACATTCTCATAACAGTTTTATTTGTTAGTTTATAAGTCGAGTTTTCTTTGTTGTGGAAAAGGAAATACCGGAAGAAGTGTGGGACTGCGGATCCAAAGCCAGAGTACTTGACATCAGTGAAAACTTCATTGAACAAGTACCTGCCCGAATCAGCTCTTTCGGTTCTATGCAGGTTAGCGATACCTGGTTTCATGTGTTTTCGAATCTTTCTGTTTATCTTTTATAATGGGTATTGGAAAATAATCTGAGAGCTTTTGTAGAAACTGTTCCTTCATGGAAATGGTCTGTCCGATGAATCCATTCAATGGGAAGGGATAGCGTCTCTGAAGCGTCTGATGCTTCTGTCCATTAGCCACAACAAGTAAGTTTTTTGCTTTCACTCTGGTGAATCTTTTCGTGTTCTTAGTATCTATTAGACACACCTTCGATGCTAGCATTTTGCAAGATAGCGTTTGTGAAGCTGCAGCTTCCTAAACCGCAATCAGTAGAATCTAGAACAAAACATTATATAACTGTTGTGAAGGTCGAATGCACTAATTGTGAAATCGTTTTTGCGATTGGGGTTTTTTTTGTTTTGCAGTCTAACTGTTCTGCCATCAGCAGTGGGCTCACTGGCGTCTCTTAGACAGCTTGATGTCTCCAACAACAAGTTGACAAATCTACCGAATGAGATAGGACTTCTTACGCAGCTCGAGATCTTGAAAGCCAACAATAACAGGCAATTATGATTTATTCATTACCTTTTAAGTGGTTGAAAAGAGAAAAAAGACCGTCTTTGCATTTTGGTTTCATAGACTGCTTT